TGTCCCTGGGGGACAGAAGGTAGGAAACAAATGCCCCGCTTAGGACCAAGCGGTGAGCCCGTGTTCAAACTTAAGTAAGAAGACCTCCGAAGGCCATTTCCCAGAATGGCAAGTTTTCAAGCCAGTTTCATTCGAGCGGTGGCATAACTGGAGGCGTTGCACTTTAATTGTTTTCAGTAGTGAGAATACTCAGACCGTGATGGAAAAGGTCTCTTTTTAGAAATTTAAATACTGAATTTTTGTCAGTGCTATTATTTTATTATTTGGTAAATAGGAGAGCGGTGCGCACGGTCTCTGTCAGTGTTTGTCATTTATCTGAATTCCCTGTCCTCACGTTTCAGAAATAAATGTTAATAAAGTGAAAAGGGAGAAGGTCCAGAAGGGTGCCAGAGATGGGGACAGGCCTGTGTGGCACGAGGGCATGGGTGGGTAGGCAGCTTGCCTATGCCAGGTGTGACTGCCATCCACTCAGAGTGAGCTGCAGCCACCAGCCCTGGAGTCTGTGGGCCCCCCAACTCTCTAACTGCTGCAGGACCTCTGCCTGTTTCTGCAACAGGACATCGGTCCTAGTATCTGAACCTGTGTTCACTCTTCTGTCTCCCGAAGAGGTCACACAGCACTGCACTCTGCTCGGCCAGCAGGACAGATTGGTTCATACTGTAAGACGGGTTCCCCAGGAACACCCGTGTGGGATGCCCAGCCCAACCTGGGCTCCCAAGGGGAAGAGAGCCTTCACTCTTGGTGTGTCACAGACGAGAGTAAACACACTGTCACATCACTGACTTCAGACCCTATCCTGACAACAAGACCCCCAAGAGGCCGAGGCCGTGAGTGTATCACCAGGCACTCACCATGGAGTCGCTGCGCCCCACCCTCTGCTCTGCTTCACCCATCTCCAGACAGGAAGCAGGACTGAGGCCCACCAGCTCACGCAGCAGTCATCATCCCTTCCCACCGTGGCCCAGAGCCCCCACCCTGGGGGGATGGACCATGTGCTGGGCGTGCAGGCCATGCATGGGTAAAAGCATTCAAGCACCAGACGGACGAGTGGACTGATGTGAGAGGATGAGAACGGGTTCAGGTTGACACTGCAGCCAGCTCCTTAAGAAACTACCCCTATCAAGCTTTGGTTTTGTGTTGAAAGTACAAGCCACTAAAAATACACTTTCTTCTTCCAATCGCATAGCTGTGAAGCCAGGTTTTTTCCATGTATGTCAACCATGCTCATGAATTTTTGTTTTAGAAAAATGTCACTTTTTCATTTTACAATGTTAACATATAATGGGTGTATCATTTTTAAATAAATTACTGTTTTTAAAATTTCTGAGTTTAATTCTTAATGTGGTAAGCATAGATCTGCATTACCACATAAACAAAAATGTTTGGGATTCTTCCATAAACTTTTAAGACTAAGAGGTCCCTGAAACCAACAAGTTGGAGAAAGTTTTCTCAAAGGTCCTGGTACATCCATAAAATAGGTGATTATGCAACCATTAAAGTGACATTTATGAAGACATAGGAAAAGTGCTAACAGGTTACTGGGTACGTTTCTCAGAGGCCTGAACTTGGTTCACCGATGCCGAGGATGGGGTGAATCCTCCAGAGGGAAGGAGTTTTGGTAGATCAAGATTTTTGTTTCTATAGTTTGCAGTGATGCTGTGAATGTGTATTACGCTTATAACCAGGAAAAAACGTTAATGTAGTCAAATAATGCCTACCCTGTTTTCCTCTTAATAGACATTGTGAAGATTAAAAATCTTTTAAAGTGCCTTTAAAAAAATCATAAACTACATTTCATAAAGTTTTATTAACTAGCATGCAAGTTCTTTTTTTTAAATTGAAGTATCATTGATTATCATTGATATACAATCTTACACTGGTTGATTCAAGTATACAACACAGTGGTTCAACGGTTACGTTACTAAATCCTCACCCCTTCTAGGGCAGCTACTATCTATCTGTCAGCACAGGAAGATGTTACAGAACCATTGGCTGTATTCTCCATGCGGTACCACCATCCTGGTGACCAACTTGTGATTGAGAATCTTTGTGCCCTTTTATCTCCATCCCCCTCCCAGCCCACCCCAGTCCCTCCCCAGTGGTAACCACCAGTATTTCTCAGCATCTATGAGTCTACTGCATTTTTCATTTTGTTTTGTTTTTATATTCCACAACTAAGTGAAATAGTATGGTATTTGTCATTCTCCGCCTGGCTTATTTCATTTAGCATTACAGCCTGTAGATCCATCTGTGTTGTTGCAAATGGCAGGATTTTTTATTTTATGGCTGAAAAGCTAGCATGAAAGTTCTCACAGGGCGGGGGCTGGTTGTTCAAATCCATCATGCTCTGGCGTGAAACACCCTTACGTAGTAAGACTCGCTAAACTAGTATTGAATAAATGTATGAATGTTTCAGTTACAAATTATATATCTACAACTATTGTTTTTGGTTGAATTTTGTCCCTAAAAGATGTGCTGAAGTCCAACTCCCAGTACCTCAGAATATGGCCTTATTTGGAAATAGAGCCATTGCAGATGTAATTAGTTAAAATGAGGTCATATTGGGTTAGGGTGGGCCCATGGGGACAGACACCCACAGAGGGGAGACAGCCGTGCGACTTAGGAGGCAGAGATTAGAGACCCGTGTGGGGTGCCTACAAGCCAAGGGCCACCAGGAATCACTGGTGCCCAGCAGAACACGGGCTCCAGCTCCCAGCCACGCGAGGGCTCCTGCTCCCGCTGTGTGGAGGGGCCCGTCACGGCGCCAGCCCCCGGAACACTTCTGCCCACCACATCCCGGGGCGGCGCCGCACAAGGCACCCAGGCTCTGATGGAGTGACTACCCTCAGGCAGAGAGTAGACAGACAAGGTCAGCGGCAGCCACGGAGTCCCCATGGAGTCTGGGATGCCCGAGGCTGGGAGTGTGCCTGAGGACACACACCTCCGCAGAACCACAGGGCACTGCTTGGTCTCCCCAGGCTCCGTGGGCCCCTCACCGTCCAGAAGTGTTGCAGCCCAAAGCCCATTCTCGAGTGGCTCAGTAAGGGAGGGAACTCCCAGCAGCTGAGGCCCTTAGAAGAGAAAAGGACGCTTCCTTCCCTACAGGTTTGAGAGGGAGTGTGGCCTGCCACTCCTAGAGCTGACTTCTGCCTCCAGAACCAAGAGAGGGTGAGTTCCTGTTAAAGCCACCAGCTTGTGCCCATCACAGCAGTCCTAGAAAGCTACTTAACTCCCGAAGAGCAAAGGCACTTCAGCAAAAGGAGAAACCACCGCGGTTTGTGCTCTTTCCCGCCCTCCATTCTCATAGCCGCACCCGAGGCAGGGGAGGGCTGGAGGGACAGGCCCCTGTCCATGCCACTGTCCCACCTGCCTGCTGGACACCCAATTTGGGGTGGGGCCCACAGCAGCTCCCAGGTGCTGAGTGAACACCAGCTGTGTCCAGAGCACAGGGTCACTCAGAGCAGAGCATCTGAGGTGGTTTTAAAATGTGTCTATTCTTCCCGTCCCTTTTAACCACGTGGAGCCACCCCTCTCTCAGGTGCAGGCTCTTCTGGGTGACTCACTTCTGGCAAGTGGAACGTGTGGCTTCCATGTGCACAGCTGTCTCCTTTCTCTCTGGGGCGGTCTCCCTGGGGACAGTCACCATGTGGTGAGGACGCCCTTTCGACCTTGTGGGTAGTCCGTGCAGCGAGGGCCAAGGCCTCCTGCCAATGGCCACGTGGCAAACCACCCTGGAAGGGTACCTCCCAGACCCCCAGCTCTGGGATGAGTGAGCGTCAGCCCCACAAGAGAGTCAGGGCCGGAACCGCCCAGCTCCTGAATCCCTGATGTCAGAAGCTGTGAGATAGCAGTGCGCTTGAAGCCAATGCCTGGGGTGACCAGCGGCACAGCAGTAGCTAGCTAACACGGCTCTGTCTGGCATCCCAGGAAGCATCCCAGCTTTGCTTTCCTTTGCTAAAGAAAATCATGGTCAGTCTGTGAAGGATTCCCCAACGTTGTCCCACTTCAGAATGTCCACATGGCTACTGCACAAATGCCCTTTACCCCTCCGCACCTTAGCAGAGAGCCTCCCAGAGTTCAGGGGCCCTGGCCTGTGACCAGCCTGGTCCTTCTGGAATGCCAGTGTCCCTGTGTGCAGTGGGCATGTGCTCGTGTGCCCAGAGTTCAGCCTTATAGAAACATCCCCACACATCCCCCTCACCCCCCACTATGACCCCCACTCCTGGCAATGGTTTCTGAGGTCGCCGTCTCTGGCAGCCGTGTCCTGGCCTCTGACTTTCCCTTCACTCCTTGCCCAGGGGAGAGCTCCTGGAGCCTAGGAAGTAGCTAGGACTGCCCGGGAGAGGGCAGTGCATACGGGACAGGTGAGTGTGTCTCTGGGTCCTGCGGGGCAAGCACCTCTCGGGTGGACCTGGGGCCCACGTGCAGGCCTGAGCAGGGGCAGTGTGGACACCCAGCAAACATGCCTCCTCCCTAGCAGAGGGGGCCCTGCTGGTAGCTGTTTGGGTCTCATGGGACAAGCATGTCCACTAACTTGAGTCACGGTGTCTGCTGTTCTTGTGTTGCCACTCCAGGTCCCAATTTTGGGGCCAGATCTGGGTCTGTGAACAATCAGCTGCCCAGTGGGGGCCCACCAGAGGGCACATCCCTGGGAGCCTAGGATACACCCCACATACGAGCAAGACCTATAACCTAGGTGCTGCAGTGAGAGGCCCAGCCTCAGACCCCCAGGCCAGCTCAGCAGGAAGGGCCAGCCCCACCCACAGCCTGCCTTCTCCCTCCTGTCCCACTGTCCCCCGAGGCTCCAGAGGACAAAGAGGGCTTGTGTGTCATTTATGTGCTCACTTCCTAGAATCGCCATTGTCACTAGAACCATTTGTGATCATGGTGATAAAAACAAGCTTGATAAGCAGTGTCAACCCAGAGTAAGGCCCAGTAAGGACTCAGGCTCGGCAGGGCCGTCAGTGCACTGGACCCTACAGACGCGGGACACACGCTGGGACAGTTCAACCATGCCTCCGATGCAGGTTTTGTTCTTTAATCGTTCCTCTGATTTAATTTTAAGTTCACTTTCACTAGGTGGGTGAGATGGGCGCACGTCACACGGGGCTCTGCTGAGGGGGCTGCCATGGCTAACAGTTCCCCTTCTGCTTCCCTCCCTGAGCCCCACAAAAGCTGCATGTGGGCACCACTGGCTCTGATCCTGGCTTGTCGTCCCTTGGAAGCTGTCTTGGTGGGGACGGGGAGGGGGCCATGGGTCCTCACATCCTCCAAGCCCACTGCAAGAGACCAGCATCCACCCATGCTCCCTGGCTTGACCCCGGGAGACCACCGCAGCGACCCCATCAGTCTCTGTAGGGTGGAAGCCAGGGGCACTGGGGGCTGCAACCACCTGGTTTCTGAGCTGCTGGCTCTAGGTCCTGTCCCCTCACACTTTCCACCAAGAGGATGTCAGCAAGGATCCTGTCCCCAGTACCCACCATGAATGGGGTTGCCATGGAGAAGGGGAGGACGCTGCAAGGGCACAAAGACTGGACTTTGGGTGGCTCCCTGTCCACACAGGTGGAAGTCCTCAAAAGCCAGCGCTGGAAGATCTGGAGATCCTCTGGGCTGAAGGAGGGGAAGAAACCCACTCCAGGAGGGGCTTGGCATGAAGGCCTAGAGGCAGGCCTCCAACCTGCAGGCTGGCCGTTAGGGCCACTGGCCAGGAATGCCAAGAACGGGCCAGGCAGGGCGGTGTTTTGGGGTCCTGTCCCTTGAGCCCCACATCCAAGTCTATAGGCAGCTGGCCCCCTACCCCCTGCTGTCTGCTTGGGGTTCCCTAAGGGGCACTGTGGCTGCCACTCCCAACTGGCACGCCTGTCCAGAGGCGAGCCTGACCATCCTGCAGCCAGGAGCATCACGGAGCATCTGTCTACCAGATCAAGGGGCCCAGGAAGAGGCCAGGGCTCCAGAGGGCTCTAAGGACAGGGTCCTCCAAGGGTATCTGAAGGTGCGGCAGGGAAGGACAGCAGGAGGGGAACTTTTCCCACGTAGGTGCTGGGCAAAAGGCTTTTGAGAGGAGGGCACTTCTGGAAGGAGAGCAAGGAGGTGTCCGTGCTGCCTGTGACCCTTGGACCACAGCAGCTTGCCCACAGATCCCTGGTGAAGAATGCCCACTCCCCTGAACTCAGGTCACATCCCACCCCACCACTCCAGCCACAGGCAGTGACCACAGGTCCTAGGCCAGCCTGGGGTGCCCACCACAGGCCAGGTGGTCTCAGATGATGACCCCTGTGCACCCACATAAAGGTGCCACAGCCCCTACCCAGCAGTTCCAAGTGCCCCACTGCACACAGCTCCCAGGGCCGGCCTCAGTGACAGCCCCAGTGACAGGAGGGGGCAAGGGCTCTGCCCCATCTCACTTTCTGCATCCTCTGTCCCTTCCTCTATACCAAGCCCCTCTCCCACGGAGGGCATGGCGGTGGTGCCGCCTTTGACAGGGAGGTGGCGCAGATGACACACCCTCAGCGACAAGGCGCTCACAAGATGACCCGGTGTAAGCCCATGTTCCTGCCACTACCACCACCGATTCGCCGATGCAGTCACCCCATCCACGAAGAGGACAGCCAAGGGGATCCAGCCGCTGCCTGGCCTGGTGCCTTAACTGAGGGACTGTGTGCCGTGCCCTGCGGCTCCTCCAGGGACAGGCTGTGGTCAGTGACTGGCCATGAGGACTGGGTGGTCAGAGCTCAGAAGGAGAAGCATAAAGCTGGGAGGGCAGGGGGAGAGGGAGGGAGCAGGGGCAGAAGTCGCGTCTAGACACAGTTGAACAAAACAAAAACAAAACCCTAATGTGTTGATGTCTGGTCTCAGGATCCTGGTGCCTCGGTGTCCAAAGTCCTTTAGCCGGAAATCTCCTCCCGCTGCTCCTTATTCCTGCGTACCTCGGCCGCATGCAGCTCCTGCAAGGACAGGTGGGTGGGTGGGCTGTGGGCTCCTGGGGTGTCTGGGAGTGAGGCAGCCCTGCCCTTCCTGCCACTCCAGGGCCCAGGGGGCCCTGGCCTTCCCCAACTCCCATGTTTGGGGGCCCTGGGAGCCTTTCATCCCTTAAGTGGCTCCGTCCCAAGTGCAACCGCTGAGGACACTTTAGCACCCAGGACTGGGGCATTACAGATTACAGGGAAAGACGCACGTCACCCTAGGTGTGGCCTGAAGGCAGAGGCCGGCCCTCGGTGCAACGGGGGATGCACCCAAAGCAGAGCGCTGTGACTCTGGGCAGCTCCTTGGGTGTGCAGGCCCCAGGTCTCACCGCTGGATGGACAGGAGGCCACCCCCAGGCCTCACCCAACCCTGGGCTGGCCCCAAGCAGGACAGGAAGTCACGGGGTGGGGGGTGGGGGGGGCAGCCCAAAGGGAGGGGTCCCAACTCCGGCCCCTCTTGTAGCTCATACCCCACGCGCGTCCTTCAGAGCGACTCAAAGTGATGACCGTCCACTCATGGCCGCGGTTACTGGCCTTGCCCCGCCAAGACCACACGGTGGGCCTCGAACGGGGCACTACCGGGGGCGTCCGGGAAACGCTGGGCGGGCCCCTGCGCCTCCGCCTCCGCCGCCGGCCGCCCAGGTCCCCCGGCCCCCGCCCCCCGGTCCCAGGGCCCCGCTCCGCCCGCGGGGCGCACCTTCTCGCGCAGCCGCTCGCGCAGCGCCGCCAGGTGCGCCTCGCGGATCTCCTTGCTGAGCTCCATCTTGTGGTTGAGCTTCTCCTCCGCCAGGCGGCTGAAGTTGCTGCTCTCCTGCAGCGCCTTGTGCAGCACCCCGCGCTCGTGCTCGCGGCGCCCGGCCAGCTGTCTCCGCACCTGCGCCTCCTGCGTCTGCGCGGGCGCGGCGCGTGAGCCCAGCCCGCCCGGGAGCCCGCCCACGCTGCCCGCCGCCGGCGCGGGTGCCCTCGCCCCCCGTGCCCCGGGCGTGCCCGGGGCCCCCTCCGCCCGGCTGCTGCCGCCACGCCCGGGTGAGCGCGGGCAACGTTGCGGGAGACACGGAATTCTAGCCCCGCGGGCTGTCACTGAGCCTTCCCCGCCTCTTCCACGAACGTCTGCCCTCTGAGCACAAATCAGGTGCTTGATAGACATCAGGTAGGCGCTCCCCAAGGCGCTAGGGGCGGTGGAGGCGTCCCCAGGGCTGCTGGCGCCACACTGTCCGCCTGCCGGAGGAGGGGAGCCCAGACCCAGGAGAAGTCAGCCTGCCCTTGGAAGGCTGCTGGGCTCCACCCACGTGAAGGGCACTACTAGTTAGCCCTGCGCAAAGCCTGCGTCCCCATGTCTCACCAGGACCAGCTGTAAGGGGGACAGCGCCCCTGCCCCTGCCCAATGTACTCGGGCATCAGGACCACGCTCCTGAGAGCAAGTCTTTCTCTGTTTCAGTGGGGGAAGGAGCCTAAGGCCCAGGCTCAGTCCTCCTGGGGCCCCAGAGCTTCCAGGAGGTCTGGGCTTGCAGCCCCCAGCACATGGGAGGCTCTTCGTTCTCACTCCCCTGCCCAGGAGAAGGATGCCAGGATGCCAGCCCAGCCTCGTGTCCTAGGGTCTCTTCTGGGGCCACCACCTGGCTCTCTCCTGGCCACGGCTGAGGGCCTCTTACACACGCAGCGTCTGCTACTGGGGATCCTTCCTCCACCCTGTCCCATCCAATCTCTCAGGAGGAGGTCCAAGGAACCGGAGACCCTCTCTGCCCCAGGTTGACAATCAAGTAGGGGCGTGGCGCATCCTGAGCCCTGGGACCCTGGCTGTGGCCATGGAGGCCTCCTGGCCACCTTCATCAGGACCTGGGTGTAGGAGCAGGCTCCTTACCTTCCTCCGTTCCTCGGCTGCCTCCATCCGCTTCTGCAGCTCCTCCAGGGAGGTGTCCTTCCTCTTGGGCGGGGAGGAGAGCATGGGGCTCTCCGGGGACAGGTCAGAAGGGGACTTGAGGATGACCTCAAAGCTCTGGCCAGAGGCCCTCTTGTCCAGCTGCTTCACTTCCATGTCTGCAGGACAAGACCAGATGGGGCTCTAGGACAGCCAGCTGGCAAGGGTCAAAGGAGCATGTTCCCAGTGCACACCCTAAAGGGCTTCAGGAGGAGGTGCGGCTGCTCACGAGGGACTCCCAGCCCTGAGCCCCCAGACCCTCTGTCCAGAAGCCAGCCAAGCCAGAGAGGTGTGGAGAGGCCATGGGAGGGAGAGCAAGGTAAGGTGCTGCAGGCACTGGCTGGGCAGGAGCCCAGGGCACACTCACCGCCATACTGGTAGATGGTGTTGGGGTGTGGCTGTGAGTAGAAGCAGGAGCAGATGAGCGACAGCACCGACAGCTCCTTCATCTTCTCCTTGTAAGCTGTGGGTCAGGGCCAGCATGAGCCGGTACTGCGGCTCCTTCCCCAGCTGCCCACCACCTGCCCTGTCCTCAGCCCTTCCTCCTTTCCCTTCCTCCAGCCGGTCTCTCTGCCAGCCTGCTGATCTCACTCTTGTGCTCCCACATCTCTGACTCTCTGTCTCTTCTCTCCCCTCTTGCCTCCCAGACACGGGCCCCCTGGGATGCCCCTGTAAGGGGCACTCTGCTGTGGGTCCTGCCCGTTAGTCCCATCCCTGTGCCTCCCTCCCCTGCTTCTCTTTCTCGTGGCACCTGGGTGCACCTCCCTCTCCCACATGCTGTGTCTTTGTCTTCTGTGCCTTCTGCATCCCATTTTGTCCTTCTGTCTTTCTGGCGCTCTACCTGTCACTCTCTCTCTTCATATCTCTCCGTGTCTCTGTGATTATTTGTCACTGTGCGTCTTCCTGACTCCCACCGCCTTCTGCCCCTCTAGGTATTTCTCCCTGTCCTCCCCCTTCCCTTTCAAAGACAACTGCCCACTTGGGTAGATGAGGTTAACCACTATCACTCATGACTGGACCAGCAGACAAGGGGCTTCTTCAGACAGCACTTTCGTGGGCTGTACATTGGGGTGAAGCCCTCAGACTGCCCCCTGTTCCCACCTCCCACCCCCATTTACCCTGACAGTAGGGCAGCCGACCCTAGGATGAAAACAGACTCTCACCAGACATACTCACTGCCCATGTAGGACCAAAGGGGAGGGAGCTGTCCGTTCAGCACCTCCACCCACCTGCTTGCTTCTGAGTACCCACGGCCCAGTGTTCCTACTGCCCAACCAGAAAAGGAAGCCCCGCTGCTGAGGCCCTGAGCCCTGTCGGGGGAAGGGAGATGCCCACACTTGGCGTGGAAATAACTGAGCTATTTATGGCCTATTCACAACAAGCCAGGCCCCAAAATAGACACGTGGTCCAATCCTGCAAACCCAGTACTGTCACACACCCTCAACCAAGGTAACACGAGGCCCAGGTGGCTGGGGTGACTGGCCCAAAGCTCTTTGAGCACAAGCCCAAGCAGTCCTGTTCTTACCACCACTCCAGCAGGTTTCTAAAACGCGGTGGCTCACTCTGCTCCTGACTCCCTGGCTGCAGAAGCTAATCTAGGTCTCCAGAGAGACACTCCAGGGAGAGGGAATTCCCTCTTCCAGCTTCCATGAAGAAAATAATGTGCATAGTTACCTGGCATTCTTTTTGGACAAGTGTTTAGATGAACAAAAACTTCCTGATCAAATTTCACACAAGATAGTGTGATAATGTTTTTAAATTGAGTTAACATGAACTTGGGGAGTGTTGGTGTAGAAACAGGACCCAGGAAATAAGTTATCAGGCCCTTGTCTGAGGGAATAGCTCATGGCGAGCAGGGTCCTCCCACAACCAGTGCAGAGAATGACGTTATTGGACCTAAATATCCCCATGCCCTAGACACTTCTGCAGAAAGCCCAAGAGGCTGTAAAGGGGGCACAGAGGATTCCTGGGCAAGCAGCAGGGACATGCTTCGGGGGGCTTGGAGGGGAAGGAGAGCAAAGGCTCATGTCTTGATACTGGATTCAAGAGGCTGGAGAAAGTTGGAGGGGGTGCTAAGGGGGGGTGGGCCTCAAAGAGGATTTTGGCCTGAGGTCAATTTCATTTTTTCACAATCAGAAGATATTCATGTATTGCTTGTGTTATGAAAAGTTAATTTTAAAAAGGAAGCAGAGGGTGCATCAAAGTACATGTGCTGGAGAGTCAGATGGTGTAAGGCCAGTCAGAGCCAGCTCTCCATGAGCAGCAGACCAAGAGACACCTGGACACTTGAGAGGCTGGGGTTGTCACCAGCCCTGTGCTCAGAGGGAAGGTGGGGAGTGGAACAAGAGGGGGTCTAGGTCAAGGGGCACACTTCGGTCCCGGGAGAGGCCAGGAAGGAGAGGACTTGGTCTAACCTGCCAGTGACCACCACCCTGGCGACAGACACTGCCGCCCCCACCGTCCTGACCTTTCAGATAGTCCTTCCACAGCAGAGGTCAAGACCCCAGAGTGGGTTTACCTTCCAGACCAGGAACCTGGGGCCTCACAGCTGCTTAAGCCCCTCTCTGCCAGAGCCTGAAATGTTCCCAGGAAAAGGACCTGCAGATTCATTGCAGAGGAGGAACCAGTTTATAGACAAATGTCGGGGCTCCCTTCCAGGCAACTGGCACTTCAGCACTGGGGGAGCTGGCAGCAATTCAGGGGGAAAGATGGGGAGCTTGGGCAGGTGTGAGCACTGCCTGTGCAAGAGACTGGGAGAAAGCTGAGGGCCTAGAGATGGATGCCAGGGCTCTCTGGGGTCATGGTTCTGCCCAGGGCACAGTGTCCAGTTGGGAAGTGAGGGACTGTGTCCTGCAACTGTGAACAGCGATGTGGCTCTGCACGTGATGATTCCTCATCATGGAGATTGCCCAGGTTGGTTTCTCCTAAGGCTGACGGCCCATGAGGAGCTTTCTTCACGGACAACCCACCCTCAAGAAGTCAAGTGAGAGGGGGGCACCCTTCAGGAGGGGCTTTGGGAACGGGGCCTGTTGTGTGGTCTGGCCGCAGAGTGGAGGGGACTAGATGGCAGGTGGGGAACTGACACATTCAGAGAGAGTGGGTCCGGGAAGCCTGCATGCGGGGTTGGGCCTGGCTGCACACAGGGCGGCAGGTTATGCCTGTGTTTTCAGAGCTGAAGGGGCTTAAAGATCACATTTCATTGCAGAGGGAAGAGGTTGAGGCCCAGATCCACTCAGGCCACTAGGCTCGAGCCAGAAAGCCCCTCCAGGGCCTCAACGGCCTCCTGTGCCCTTTTCCTTCTCACCAGGACCCTGCTCTTCCTTCCTCATCCATCACTGACTTCAAGGACTCGCAGACCTCTGTCACAAGCTGGGTTACTTTCATTTCCCTCTTCTTCTTTATATTAAATGTTAAATATACAAAAATGCATATTGGCCTCTTGGATGACTGGGTCCTAGGTGAGCAGGAGTTAGAAGGCAGCACCAGCTGACAGCAGCACAGAACAGCAATAATGGTGCCCACTGGGTGGCCAGTCACACACACCTATTTCCCCAAGTGACTCTCAAGACCAAGCAGCCACGCAGTCACCCTAGTCACCTCATTTCTACAGAGGAGAAAAGAGAGACTCAGAGTGAACAAGCAGCCCACCCAAAGTCACATAGCATGCTCAGATGGGAGCAGGTCAAGAGCCCGGGCCTCTGACTGCAACTTTCCTATTGGGAGCCTCAGGGTAGAGGGAGGGTCTGTCCAGACCTGGAAGGGCAGGGGTCCACAGATGTTCACTTGCCCCTGGAAGGGGCCTAGAGGCTGCTGCTAACTGCTCCCCAACAGACAGAGCTCGTTGCGATCTGACTGCCCCCCTCTCTCACTAGTCAGAGTCACATCCGACAGTGTAGGGAGCCCAGTGTGGCAGGTATTGCCAGCAGAATTCACCTTATGTGGACAGGAAGCTCAGGGAAACATGGCTCCAGCAGTCCCACTGACGGGCACAGACTGGCCACTCAAGTCTTGCCACGATGCAGGCCAAGCACCTTCCTGAAATAACTTGTTCCACTCTCAGAACGAGGCTAGGGGTGCTGATGTCACTGTCATCCCCATTCAGATGGGGAAACTGAGGCCCTGACTGGTTAGGTAGTATGTGCAAGGCCTCACAGCTTCATGGAGTTGCACAAGGAGCCAAATATGGGCAAGACTCTACCAAAATGTGTAAGGAGGTGAGCTCCTGGCAAGGACAAGAGATGGCTGTCTCCCCAAGGAGGCCCTGAGAACACAGCCGTCATCGGCGCTCAAGGGAAAGGCAGTGGGCAGGCTTTTCAGTCTGCGCAGGAGGAGGGAGCTAAGGCCGATCCTGCCGCAGCTCTGAGACCAGAGCAGACAGCAAGTCTTCCCCTGGTCACCAAGGCCAAAGGCAGCCCGCCAGCGGGTGCACCGAAGCGAGCAGCTGCTCCAATCAGAGATACCTTTTTTTTTTTTCATTGGGGCGAAAGCTTTATTGGAACATGTTCCAAAGAGATGCAGGGGGAGAGGAAATGGAGACAACTCTTTGACAAATGTTGCTGAAAAGGGGGTGGTGATGACATTTTTGTTTGTTTGTTTGTTTGGAGAGGGCATCTCTCATATTTATTGATCAAATGGTTGTTAACAGCAATAAAATTCTGTATAGGGGACTCAATGCTCAATGCACAATCATTTATCCACCCCAAGCCTAATTCTCGTCAGTCTCCAATCTTCTGAAGCATAACAAACAAGTTCTTACATGGTGAACCGTACAAGGGCCGTCATCACAGAAACTTTTGGTTTTGATCACGCATTATGAACTATAAACAATCAGGTCAAATATGAATATTCATTTGATTTTTATACTTGATTTATATGTG